AAACTTTTGGAGTTTCACATTGTTGTTACACAATCAGATTGCTATAGCACTGTTAGAAGCGAAGAAGAGTCCCGGTTTGGACCAACAACGTACTCAACAACACATGTTACACTATCGCGATACTCCGCCACAGCCTGGACGAACGCCATCGAGAGATTCTGCCACGCGACCGTGATTCGGTGCCTGAGTTCAGCGAGGTCGTTGATTTCTCCGCCACTGTAGACCACCCTGTTGAGCTCCGCTCGAACCCGGTAATCGAAAAGGTTTCCGACAGGTGACACACTTGGATACACCGTCTTCTTGGTACTCAATGCTCTTCCTCTCCAGCAGGCAGAGTTTTATCAACATCCTCCGATTCCGTTGCTGGTGCCCAATCCTGTAGCAGTGCGAAGTTTCCAAGACGGTACAGGCGACAACATGGAAATAGGTTATTCACCTCGAGCTGTTCGGTGTAACAGTCTTTCACTTTCAGATCCGGGGTCCACGGAGACAATATCGGTCTCCCATTCCAGGAACTTCCGGTCCATACCATCACCGCGCCTTGGCGACTGCAGAGAAGATGATATCCTGGACCATAGCGACGTTGTCGGAGCTGCTCGATGTTGGAGGTCTCCCATATCAAGAGTGGGGTCCCCAGGTAGCTGTCCATGGGTGACTCGATACAAGAAGTTTCGCAGCTGTTTGGAGGTGACTGAATTCCATAGACCTTCTCCAGTCCGGCTGCTATGGAGATGGCTTCATATTTTGCTGTAGAGAGGGTGATGGGCGAGAGCCTGCTCCTGCTTATGGAACATCTTGGGTATCTTCCGCCCTGGTACTCGTATCCACGTCTTCTATCTGGGCTGCGTAAACTTTACTGATATGTGACTCGGCCAAAGTGTCTTTTTTTGCCCCCCCCTCCATCCTGTATATTATAAACTGTGAAAAGGCTAATTATAAATTGACCTAGATATGAATAAATGCTCCATCTGATCACCTCGTAAGGCACAGAGATCTGAAACAATTAACTGTGCGTTCTTCTTTGTGTTTGCGCAAATCTACAGACACATTATTAGGCGTGGCTGCCAGTAAGCTGCTTCTGGCCCCACAAATTTTTTTCTCGTAAAATATCTTCAAAGCGAACTCAAGCCTGAAGATTAGGGCAGCGTATGCCACCCATCACCATCCAACTACTCGATACCAGCCGCCTCAGGCCCAGCTTGCTCGATTCCTTCTTCTCCAATTGAAGAAGTCGCTCGAGTGCCCTTTTCTGACCTGATCCTTTAGTTTCCGCCAACTTTTCCGTCCAGATGGAGCCCGCCTCTGCAGGCCCGGCAGCCCCGCCAACAGCCAATAGCCCTCAGAAGCCGCCAGCGATGTCAAGGCGCTGCTTAGCGGGGTTGGGGCCGAGCCATCAGCCAATCCGCTAAACTTCTCCAGCCTCAGCCTGGCGTCCGCCCTTGCCGGTGTGAGCGTCGTTAGTCATGGCTGGAAGCCAGAAATTTCCGCCCATTTCCTTTCACGAGCTACGCGTACGACGCGATCTTTTAATTTCCGCCATGCCTCGGTAAGATAAGTGCGAAGCGTAAAATTTTGTCTGTCCCTTTCTCTCAGCAGCTCCTCAGTACTCCATGGCCCCTTTTCTGGCCACCACCAAACAGGACGACGAGAACCTTTTTGCCCGGCCCGCTGAACGCTCGCCCTTTGGCGCGCTGGCATTACTGGCGCTGCTTCTCCTTCTCGGACTCACTGCCCGCTTCCTTAACAGGGCTTAATCGCCCAGAGGCACCCACTTCTCTACTTCATCCCAGTGAGGTCATCGGAGCCAGTATGAGAAAGCTGGCAACTTCTTTAGTGAATCATGAAGCTAAAAACCCCAGCCCGCAGTGGCGCAGGTACATTTTGTCACAGTGGAAATTGTGCGACATTGTGGCCTGCAAATGCAAGGTGGGTGAGTGATAGCTAGTGTGATAAAAGAGTATAGTGCCCACGTCACGCACACGTGATGACGATATACCAACATCCATGCAAACGAAATACGGAAGGATCAAACACGTGGCCAAGAACTTATGCACCAACCTAATAGAAAACCGTGGTGAAGTCTACAGTTGGTCTTGAGATCTAGCGTCGCTGTTTTGTGAGTCAGACGTATTTCAGTAACCAATTTTTTCAATTCTTCTCTTTCCTCACAGCTGCGACGTCGCTCCGCGAATTCTTTCTTCCTCTGCTCAATTCTCTGGCCCGCAGTAGTAATTTTTCCGGGTTCGTTAAAGCAAACTGTGACAGTTCCTAGTCTATTGTGTGGTTAACAGTATCCCTTCAGTGTGCTGCCAACAGAAAGGTGAAACAGTATTTCCACGGATATCTGCTTTGGACTCAGATTGACTTAGGGAAACCCAACCCTTTTTCCTATCATAACACTCGCTGGAGGCCCTTCTAATGGCAAGAAACAAAAAAACTGGACAATTCATTCGATACGTCTCGTATTGTCAAACTGGTGCAAGTCGTACGACATCTAAAAAAGAGAGATTTCCCAGAAGCGTAGAGCGCGGAAAAGGTTGACAACTGCTCATTGGTGCTGCCTATAGCACTTGAAAGATCTACATAGACGTGCTGCAGGAATGTTACACCGATTGTACTATCCACGTTCCGCCCTTTTTTCAATGATGTGGTGGTTCCAATTGAGAAAGGTGTGCGGCAAGGTGATCCTGGAGCAGATCATCGGAGTTGGATTGAACATTGACGGCACTCTTCTGAATCACCTTCGCTTCGCCGATGACATTGTGCTTATTACTAGCTCGCCAGAGGAGGCGTCCGAGATGTTGGATCGTTTGGACCAGAAGAAGTCAGTACGGTTTGACGATGAACACATCAAAAACGAAAGTCATGCGGAACCGATTCGCCGGAGGTGCGACCGTAACCTTGAAAGGGAGCCCAATCGAAGACGTCGAAGAATTACGTGTACCTCGGGAGTGAGCTAAACATGAGGAATGACTTGACCGGAGAGCTGACGAGACGCTGCAAAGCTGGATGGGCAGCATTCAACTCAATAAAGAGCGTCGTGGAAGATACCAGGGATCTCAAGCTCCGTGCAGACCTCTTTAATACAACAGTGTTGCCTGCCCTAAGCTACGCAGGAGAAACTTGGGCCCTCACAAAAGCGCACGAAAAACGGTTAAAGTCTGCCCAAACATCAATTGAGCGCCGCCTAGTAGGCCTGACGTTAAGCCGTCAACGAGAATTGAAACTTCACAACTCGGACGTCAGGGCCATGTCGAAGATCAAGGACATTGTACTCCACGTTGACGAAGCGAAACATCGATTTGCTGGCCACGTGATGAGGAGAAATGACGGGAGATGGAGCTCTGCGACGATACGATGGTACCCGCGTGATAAGAAACGACCGCCGGGCCGCCCTCCTCTGCGCTGGGCAGATTCTCTGGCCTATCGCAACAATGTTTATGATCAGATTTCTCTTAAGGTCTCTATGCACTGGACAAGCAAGGCTCAAGACAGAGATCAATGGAAAAGAAGTTGGGACCCGCGCAAGGTCAACCGCCGTGCTGAAGAACGGGTCGTCCTAAGTAATCTAAGTAAGCAAGTAATAGCACTTGCCAACTTATGAGTGGTTGTTTTTAGGAAATTGAGCGAACATGCACCGTTTCCCTTCGTCTACACTAGCGAAACAGTGCGGCGAACAGGTGAACGACTGCCATATCTTTCGGGTACTGTTCGGCTTGGGGGCGCATCTTGCAATTTCTCAAATTCTTGTGGTAATTCATGTTAGTTAGCAGGCTGAGACCCGCAGATTTCTGTAAAGCTTGCGAAGCGGTATAAGAGAGCCATCAGGAATCTATGTTCACAAGATGGCCTGAACAAGCTTCTCTAAGCACTATCTGATGCCCTCACCACCCCGAACTGAGTCCTCTATTAAATAAAATGCAAGTATTCGCTGCCTCGACTCCAGCAGATGACTCTGCAAAAATCCATTATATGGGTCGAAAAGTAGCGAACGTGAGGAGAGAACGAGGTCTGACGAAGTGACTGGTGTATAGGCAAGAAGCAGAACTTCTCAAACAGTACATGAATTTTGATGTAATGTGCTTATAATTAAAGAGGCCTCACCACATATATTGGACCAAGATATCCAATATCGGTTATATCCAACTTATACCAATGCTTTACTTCTGGAGCAAAATATTCTTCCTTCACAGGAGAAGGACCGAAATTGAAAAAGCAGACAGCGCCGTAGTCCATAGCAGTGAAAAGGTAGAGTACTACCAGAATGTAGCTTCGTCCTTTGAACAAAAACTGACCACTGGGCCTGCAATAAATCTTTTCAATGCTATACGCAAGCCATTTAAACACAGAGTCACGAGGCATGTCAGCGTATTAGAGGGACTATTACTCCTTATGAGTAGGGCAGTTGTTTTGCGCTTATTGCAATTACTCGTCAGGGCTGCAACGGTGAGCTTCAAGTTTTTGCGAGCTTGACAAAATGTGCAATCTCGGGCCATACCGACCAAGAACACGTCCTCTCTCCCCAGCTTTCGACCATCTCCCTGGAACTTCTGCGGTTTTCCCTACACAACTGTAGTCAAACGGAGAGGCGGACAGGGGAGGGGTGGCCCCAAGCCAATACTACATCCAAATGGCAAAATTAATAGTTGTATACAGGGTTCAGCATCGTTGTGTGAAACACATGGGGGGGGGCGTACTTGGCCGCTGTGGAGGGGGAGCCGTATTCGGTCGGTTGGAAGAGAGATTTGCCGCGCTGGTAAAAGATTTTTTCCGATTGTTGACTTTTCGCGGTTTTCCCCGTTTCACACTGGCTATGGCCCCCAGTGCAACGAACGTGAACGCTCGGCAGCAAAATTTTGAGTGGAAAACTGGACAATGGGGGAAATTTCTTAATAACTGGGAGAAACTGGCAGGAAGCTACATAGGAGCTTGCAGGAAAGCGTAAGGTAGGTCTTGGGGAAGGAAGGAGGTCGTACCGAAACCCTTCTTCGAGGAGGGGGTCGTACTGACATCCATTTCAGACGTTACGATGCTGCACCCTGGTTGTATATGTAAGAATTGGGAAAAAGGGGGCGCTGGTGGTGGGTAGGCTGCCAACAGCTCCAAGGCACCCGTTGTTCACTTTCGGGCCCTAGTCATGGGTTGGTGGAACCTCTGCGATTGCGTTACTAGCCAACTCATACGAACTTGGAAAGGATTGTGATTGTGACTTTCAGGATCATCTTTGTTCCTGGCATAGATAACTAGCCTTTCTCATTCATTACGTTCTACCCAAGGTGGCAGGCTTCTGGAGCCTCTCAAATGTTGTGTAGAGTTTTGATGACATCCCTTTATGCAGAAGAACAAAAAAAGAGAAAAAAAAACAGAAATACTTTATCTTAATTTCATTTCAGTGCCGCTCTTGGGCTTTTGCCGATGTGCGCATGAACCATGAATAATGTAGAGATTACATTGTGCAGGTTCCACACACAGGGACACCAAAAGCCCAATGACAATGATTTGAAGATGAGCAGCGGCTCTGATACCGATCTCTGAGAGTTCGAAAAGCGGAAGACAAGTTGTTCTTTGGTTCCTCACCACACATCATTATGTGTTCGTTGTGAGACATCGTCCAAATATTCGTCAACATAATGGTGATCACAAGTTTTCACTAGACTTGGAAAAATTCCATTGGAGTAGAAGACGGGTAAAGTCCGTACCATCTTTTGCAGCACTTTTTTAACTCATAATATGTACGGGGTAACAATTTCCTCATGGTCAGAAGTTTTGTTATGATAACTGCTGTTTTACGCAGTAGTTCGCCTTCTGAAAGTTATCACGAAGAATGCTGAGTTATGGGCAAAAGTGGAACCCCAGACGGGAGTTGAACCAGCACTGCACAACACTAGTTATCATAACAAAACTTCAAAAACTTGTAAAGCCTTCGGCCTCGCGGTTCATTGCCGATATCTAACGATTACGGCTGACCGGCTCACCAAGTTAAACGTGTGAGTGCTGTAAGGCTACGGCATAAAAGCCGTTAAGCTGAGAGGGTAAAAGCGGCCCTGGTGGCGTAACGGATAGCGCACTCGCCCGGAAAGCGTGAGGTGCGGGTTCGACTCCCGCCTGGGGCACGACTTTTGCCCATAACTCAGCATTCTTGTGATAATTTCCACAACCATAAGAGTTCCGGCATGCAAACGAGGCTCAATTAAAGTTTTCAGCGCATGGACCCTTCTCTTCTTGAATTCCACACACCAGTGAGGAAAATGCACTGTATCAATCAGGGTACGTTCTGTCGCTGAGGAACATTCTTGCACCATACTCACTCCCCCCCCCCTCTCCCACCCCAAGATCTTCTCCTCCTTTTCCCGACGCAACTACCATTATACCGACTTTTACCACGTTCCTACCACTCCAGTTCTCTTGAAAGGTTTCTGCTGCAGTGGGAGCATCCCAACCCATAGCGCGTGAAAGAAAAAAGTCAACCATAAAGAAAAGTTTTCTGGCTTATTATGATCCCTCCCTCCGGCCAGAAACGATTACCCCCCCCTATGTTGTGCCCTGCTTCGAACATACTCTACGAAACGTTAGCAGAAATAGAGGGCTTCACAGCTTCCTTCATGACCCATCGGATTCGTTGGCTACCCATCAACAGTGAAACCATCTTTATAAGTTTCGGAGACAACATGGGCCCATTTCAGGAACTAGGGAAAGCATTTTCATCGGCAACCTTGTTTCGGGTTGACTTGGGCCAACACGGTCCCGGCAAATCACAAAAGGATTCATCCTTTTGCTCTATAGCAGCAAATAGCACATGTGAAAGGGGAACAGCCGCGAGAATAGTACGACCCCCTCCGTCTCACTAATTCTCATATTCTCCACCAACTTCCTGCCACTTTTCCAAAATTTCTCGAAAAATTCCCTACCTTTTCCAAAAATTTTGCTATCGACCGTGGGGGGAGTGTATAGTAAACATGAAACAGGAAAATCACGACCACCTCTCCCAGAAAGCCAAAAGTAAATACGACCCCCCCCCTCAACAGCGAGCAAATACGACCCCCCCTTTACAACGTCCGTGAAGCGAGAAAAATCAACTATCAAAATAAATTTTTCTCAGCCCAAATACGACCCCCCTCTCCTGGCGACCAAATACGACCCCCCTGTTGGGGATTCGCCAGAGTCTTCACAGAAATACGATATGTTTTCATTGTCATCTTTACATTTAGCAAGCTCTCACCTGACCACCTGTACGTAGCGATATACAAATTGTAAAGATAGCAAAAAAAGCGATTGTGCAAATAGTGAGCAGAAAACTGCGCATAGAAAACGGTCGAGACCTTTGGGAATTGACCCTAGGCCAGTTGTGAATAGAATAAAGGATAAGTCGTAGACATGAATGACCTGAAATAAAGAAAAGTAAAAAACTAAAGAATAAAGCCTCCGCCATTGATCAATCCGTTTGTGGGATGCGGCACACATTCTACTTCCATTCGAATCGCAGTGGCTTATTGAATGCGATGTGGCCTATACAATGACTTGCGGGGCCAGCCGATGTACAAGTCAGTGTTCTTATCCTCCCAGACGAATCTGGTACCAATTCACCGTCCCCGGAGGGTAGAAGGCTTGGTTGGCCTGGGCGGGATTCGAACCCAGGACCGCGCGATGGTAAGCGCGCCACTTGTCACTGCACCCTAAAGGAAACCTTTACTTGAACTTAATGCCATTCATTTGATTAACGGTGCCGTAGTCTTGCTTTCTTTCACTGAGCCTCTTTAGAAAAAAGAATATAGCAACGAGGTGGCGAAAATTGTCACACAGGACACCTCAGGGTCAGACTCCGGGGAAAAAATCATAAGCTAGAGCACGCGTGGCGTGTTCGCTGTCGCCACTGCGCTAACGCGGCGAAAAGGAAACAAAAGCAGGCTAGCGCTAAAGCACGGCAGTCTTAAAGCAATGAATTTTCTTGTACTTTGCCGAAATGGTAACCAGCAGTAAAACAACGGTAAAGGCAAGAAGTAACGAGTGGCGGCTGTAGCGTCAGTGAATGGACAGCAGCGCATTTAAAGAGCTGCAGGAACATTTCTTAAAGGCTGAGCCCGCATTCAAATTTGATGAGTTATGCGGCTCAAATACTTATAACAAGGTAGCAAGTAACCCCTCAGTAAAGAAAAATCAGAAAGAAATCATAGGAAAGGCTCTATATAGAACCCCTTGCTTAACTGAGGTTGTACGTGCTGAAGGCGAAGAGAAGGTGCGGTCGCACGAGTTCTCACTTGTTGATATCAGCTGTTTTCCCTTATCACCTCACTCTCACCACTCGACGTGGAGAGAAGCAGCAGCGAAACAACCGCACCATCAGGTAACCATTAGAAATGAATGGTGGGCGGTGCCAATGATTGTAGGTTGGGTCAATGATAAGAACGACGGCATCGTGGCTCTCCTCACGCGTTTTTGCGCCGCGAAAGTGGTGTAGTTGTTGCCTCAGCGGACCTGACTACCTGCTCACGAAGGGAGAGGAAAATCTCAACTGAACGCGGACGCTGCCTTTAAGAGATGAGCTGATTCGCTGTGATTACTGACATTATCAACCAATGCACGCTCCGGCGTTACCGAGGACCGCTAAAGAGCTAAACTATCGAGTAGTAGTGATAGCGGCGCCTGTCAGTATCCGTTGCTTCAGCGAGATCATTCGGCACAGGCGTGTTGCGCACCACAGGTGAGTTTTTCTCTTCCCCGTCAGGGTTATGACCATCATGGAACAG